GATGTTTGAGAAATGGATGGCCGAGACACAGTCTTTCTGAAGAGGTCCCCTTAACCGATAGATAGGTCAGTACACCTTCAATCCCCTACATCTGCTAGCCCATCATGGAAAGGTTTCCCACAACTTACTCAATTATGCCAGAGCCCATAATGGCATGTGTCTGCACACAGAAGTTTCTAGCATGAATAATCTTATGATCCCTTTGAGCCTGGGTGGCGAACCATAGGATGATCACACGGATGCCCCGGGATCTCCTTGGACAACACTGGATTCCCCAGGTGCCCACAAACAATCCACCCAGATGTGTATTAAAGTAGCCACTTTAGGTTATCCCTTAATTCATAATAATACTCACAATTGTCATGAATCACTCAAACCAAACCATGTCTACGAGCATAGCATAGCAGTATAAGCATAACGTAGTTACTCCCCAGGGTTTGATATAAGGCAATAGGTTCTATCTCTTCAACTACTTCCCAATACCCACATGTTACCAAATCGTACTCATGCAATGTTTGAGGGTTTAAAACAATGCATAAAACTGGGTATTAAAGGGATATGATCAAAGTGTTACTTGCCTTGCTGACGATCTGAAAACCCTAGTGATTCATAGTAGCAAGCCTCGCACTCCAGAAACTCTATCATGAACAAACAATAGCATACATAAGCACTCAAGCATAAGATGCAAAGTTCAAGCCGAAAAGAAAAGATCTAAACAGAAAGTTCAAGAGAAGAGCTCCGATTTGCAAAAAGAATCAATCGATTCGGAGCTACGAAACACAAATTGTGATCAAAAGAAGTTCAAATTCAAATCTGCTTGAAACCAAATTTTAATTTTTCAAAATCATGTTTAAGTTGATTATCTGGATAGAGGGAAACAAGACGAAGATTTTGGCATCGGTTTCACTGGATTTGGATAAACGAGCAAAAAGTAGTGAAGGTTTGAAGATCAAGGACTAATTTGCAAGAAAATTATTCACAGATAGGTCCCTGGCCGAAAATAAAACTAAAAAGAAAAACCTAACGAACGAACATTCGCTAACAGAGACTAACGAATGAAATCATTCGTTATAGGAAACTAACGGGTGAACGTTCGTCAACTAACGAACTAAAATAAATACCAATCTAAAAAAATAACCGGAGAAGCCGAACGGTTTATTACATTTAACCGTTGAAAACCGGCGGCGGTGGTTTCGACGGTGGCGGGATCCGGCCGGGTTCGGCGGCGAGGCGGGGCGGCTCCGGCGGCGGCAGCGGGCGGCGGCGGCAGTGGGTTGGTGGCTCGGCGGCTCGGCGGCGGTGTCTAAGGCGACGGCGGCGGCTTGATGAGGAGGAGAGGGAGGCGGGGCCTCGGCTTATAAAGCCCGGGAGGGCGGGCCGGTGGCTTGGGCGAGGGGGCGCCGGAACGGGAGTCCGAGCCGGACTCCCCATGTGGCCGCGGCGGGGACTCCTCCCGGGCGAGGAGGAAGGCGGCGCGCGAGCTGGGTCGACCCAGGAACATTTAAAAAAAGAAAAAAATTCTCCGCAAACAAAAATCCTAATAAAATATAAAAATTCTAAAAAATCCAGAAAGAATTTGCACCGTCCAAAACCTAATATTCAGGACAATATGAACATTTTTCTGGACTAAAATGCAATTTTCAAATATGCATGTTTTTTTCTTTAATTCAAATAAAATAGCAAATAAAAACATCAATAAATAATTTGATTTTAAAATTTCTTCTCCAATATTTCTCCTCTGTTGAAGAAGTCATTTTATCTTCTCTCATTTATCTTTTTATTAGAAATAATTGAAGAGAAAATATTAAAATCAGATTGATCCTCTTTTTCAAATTTGAATTAAATTCAAATATGAAAATTTTGTGAAACCTCCAACTCTCTCCTTGGATCCTTGAGTTGCTTAAGATATCTAGGATCATAATCAAAATGCAAATAAAATATGATATGCATATGATGATCTATGTATAACATCCAAATTAAAAATTGGGATGTTACATCTAGAGGAAAGGAACCAAGGAAGAAAAACGTTAGCATAGACCCAATGAAAAAAAACATATCCTAATGAACGAAATAACATCTCTTTCCCTGTAGGATTTGAGAAACATGTCATCTCACTTATGACTTTCCTATACTATGAACCAAAGGATACCTTAATGGAAGTAAGGCAGTCAACAAAAGCCGAAAGAATTGTTATGGTCAACAAGTCAAAGAAGATGTAAGAAGACAGTCAACAAAGTGGGCAAGAAACAAAGAGCCAAAGATTAGAATCCACCATATAGCAAAAGCCCATAGACTAGTGACAGTCTAGACCAAGATTTACCACATACCCTTACGGGCAATACATCAAAGGTATGTTAATCAAACTGTTGTCTTTGACCTGGACTTACGACTTCTTATTCAACATTTCTTCTCGTTTTTTCCCATGACTTTTCACATTTTTATCTCTCTATGGTGCTCTCGTATATTGCTGCAAAGGGTGAAAGAAGGTGAAAAGGCGTATCAATATCAACGTGTGCATGTACTCACAAAGATACCATACACCCTAGCATGTTAACACAACTAGGCGGCTCAGAAGGCATAAGAAGAGAAAACCGTTGCAAGTGGCACCATCATACTTGTCTGTTGGGGGACAAAAAAGGGCGATGGCTACATATTGCTCGCTGTGAGCAATATGGCTCGTGTCGCCTAGAACCCTTGCTCGATCGCTAGCATGGTGGGCCGGCCCATTAGGGCGCCTCGCTCACTCGCTAGTTGCTGCAGTTGCTCCCAATATTCATGTTCCATAATTCATATAGCCAAATATCATTGAAATATATTGAAAAGGTTCCTTGCAACAACGTGCATGGAATCATCTAGTTGTAAAAATGACCATGTTTTCACAGATTTGCCTCAAGAAAATGGAAACAATTTAGGAAATGTTAGAAAAGTTTCAAGAAATCATAGAACCCATAGAAAAAAATCAGAAAAATGTGATAAAACAGAGAAAATCGCGGAAAGCAGAAGGAAAACGAGAACCCTCTGGGACCTATTATTTCGCCCTTTCATGCTCCTCTTCCAACACTAGGAATGAGACCAACCTTTCCCCCACAAACAAGAAACAATGTTTCCTTATAAGGGTGGATTTTCAACCCTGGCAATGATGAAAGATTTCAGGGATTGAGTTTATTGACCCGCACTCATAGGTGGTGACTATTGCGACTACCGTTCAATAGGACTCATGTTGTGAGATAATTTACCGGGGGTCCCAGCTAGTCCTACTTAACAAGTTATAATGGAAGTTTGGGTAGTCAAAAAATTCCAAAAAATTGTTGTTGTCTACAAGTCAAAGAATATGTAAAAACAGACTCAGCAAAATGGACAAGAAACTAACGGAGCCAAAGCTTAGGGCCTCTTTGATTCGCATGATTTGAAAAATGTGGGAATAGGAAAAACGTAGGATTGGAATGTCATGCTCATCTCAATCCTACTGGATTTTGGGTTGTTTGATTGCATCATAAGAAAAATGAAGGATTCTTTCAAAAAGGTTTGAATGGATGCTAGAAATCATAGGGGAAGTAGTATATAAAATCCTTAGAAAAATTCCTATAAGATTCAATCCTATGAATCAAACAACTAACATGAAAAATTCCTATGGATTCTAATCCTCTAAAATTCACATGAAAATCGTTTGAATCAAATGAGCTCTAGAATGGGCCAATATAGCCAAAGTTCATGTACTAGTGGCCCTCCACTTTTTAGGGCTCTTTGGTTTATAGGAGTTTTGTAGGGAAAATTTCTTTGAAGCCCTTCCGTTTATAGGAATATAATCCTATTCCTGTGTAGGATAGGAGTCGATCCCTTGTATATCATAGAAAAAACACATTAGCCTAGATTTAATGAAAAAAAATCTTATCATATTAATCAAATGACGACGTCTCTTTCCCTGTAGGATTTGATATGTATGTCATTTCACTTTTTCCTATTCCTACGAACAAAGGAGCCTTGCTAGTCTATATCATGGATTAGTGCACCAAGTTTTACCAACATACTCCCTTCGTCCGGTAAAGAGTGTATATCTAGCTTCAAAATTTGTCCACAAAAGATGCTACATCATCCACAAGCAAGACACTATTTCTGTTGTCTTATTTTTTTTGAGGAAATATCATCATGGCTCACTTTATTGCTATCAAATAGATGCTACATCATCCACAAGCAAGGAAATAATAAAACTAGGAGGTTCATCAACCCAAACATCTCATTAGCCAAAACGACCTCCCTTCTGATACCCAATGCTCCTGTGATAGCTGCATCAATCGCATAAGAAACTTCTTTGTTACACGCAGCAAGAGATCGTCCCATGTCTGAATAACGTATGTCTGATATCCTCACATTCCAGAGGGCACCTAGGACACTGACTTGATGATGTTATAATGTGTCTATTAGCTAACACCCGGTAACAGGGGAGGACACCAAGCAGAGTTTTCCAAGCAATTTTTTTTTCTTTTGCTGCAACATCTGTAGCCCATATAGTGTTTTCCAAGTTCGAGCTTCAATTGATCCTCCAGGCCGAACCAAATGCTCGACAGCACCAAATTGATGATTCAACTATTTCTGTTGTCTTTGATCTCTACGTACGTATCCACAGAGATACCATACGCCCTAGCATGTTAAACACCACGAGCTACGCAGCTCAGAAGGCACCACCCTACTTATTCGTTGGGAAAAAAAATACAAACTTTTACCAATGAGTGATGTTGTTCGCCCAAAAAAAAGGTGATGCCACGATTTCTTTCGCTCGAATGGACCCATCCAATGCTCATGTTTCAAACCAATAATGATAAAAGTGGAGTCGAAAGAAATTTGGGCCTCTGCCAAGGTGTGCAGCTAACATTTGGCCACGAAAATGGAGGTACTACAAGACTAAAAATGCATTGCTTCTGTAAGATATCAAGAGGGGTCGGACAGTCCCCATGCTGGATAATGTAGAGCGTGGGGGGCTTATTTTTCTGTACTCCGGAAACTTAGAACTGGAACTGCATCTCCTTTGTGTATCCGAGCTCCTCGAGGTGCGCAGCCATCGCCTTGTTCATCGGAGGAGGGCCGCATCTCAAGATCTGGAATATAACAAAGAAAAACCGCGTTATCTCGGAGAGGCGATACAGATTGGAGTTTCCTGGAAAATGACCACTTGTGCTTTCTTGTAAACGTAGTTGCAACTTGCAAGGAATGAACACTTGAGTTTTACTTTACCTGAATATCCTCAGCAGGTGCTGGACAGTGGGTCTTGATCATGTCCTGGGACACAAACCCAACACCACCATTCCAGACTTCAGGAGGCTGCAAATGCAAACGACAGTATGAGATTCTGTTGCAAATGCCTTTATAGTGCAATGGAAGTTGTGACTCTGGATGTAACTCTGTACCATTGGACTAGGGGCAATGAGAGCGCACAGTTGTTTTTAGCAGATAAAAGACAAATTCATAATGCGGATTTATTAAAGAACATGGTATTCATCCAATCAAAATATATTTAGCACATAAAAAAAGGGCAGACGGGTGCATGTAGCTCCCGCTTGTGCAGGGTCTGGGGATGGGTCCGACCACTTTGGGTCTATTGTACGCAGCCTTTCCCTACATTTCTGTAAGAGGCTGTTTCCACGGCTGGCTAACAAGGCAGCAGCTTTACCACTGCGCCAAGGCTCCCCTTCAATTATTTTAAGTAGTCCAACACTATTCAAAACCTATCTTGTGACCGGTATTATGCATACAGCTCTGTCCTGCAATTATCTAGCAGCACTACGTTACCATGTGTTCAACGATCAACAGCCTGCCCCATGTTGTTGCTGTGAGTCATAACAGAAATTCTGCACCTACTTATACTAGTAGTTCCCAATAAATGGAAAAGTCCTGGATCCATTGTTTCCGAACAGAACTACTGACGTGCTTCCGCATAATAAATGCAGTGTACTGATTTGATATGCACATCTAGTTAAAACATAAGAACATAGGGTGAACCTGATTCAACACGTAGAAGATCTTGAAGCGGTCAGGATATTCTTCGGCCAGGCTGTCCAGCTCTTCCTGCACAGATTAAACAGACCTATAAAGTCGGTACCAAGCAAAATAGCACAGCACTAGTGAAGTGCGTCCATCATACAAGAACATCCCTTGGCTCAAGCCCATGCTGCTTTCATGATTTGAGTAACTTTGTAATTCATGTATTCAGTTATAGATGGTTTAATATTTATAATAAAAAAGGAAGCCAGGGAAGTTGTATGTAAGTTCCAATTACAAATTACTGTGTGACTAGTTCCCTTTTACCGTAGTACAAGTTGTGCGCAAGTTCTGAATCACCTTGGACATTCTAGATATTTTACACTAAAATATCCTAAAGGGAATAAGGGAAAACAATACTTGGCATCCAAGTGTTATATCATCAACAACTATACGGAGTAGATACATCGCTGATAAGTGATAACAACCTTATAAAGTTCTAGTAAAATGTGTCATATATGCTCACAGTAACTCCGGTCTAATGGGTCAAGAGTTGCAAAGTATATATGTCTTGGATATGGTTTCTGTATCAGATAACTGCACGAAAACCAAAAAAGGGTTTCTACAGAAAAGAGGACGGTGATTCCACCTTCAGAAGAATGTCTTCAGGTGTGACATTTGCATAGACTAGATGAACCTTCGTTTTGTCATTAGGGTTCTCAAGAATTGCCCTTGCAACCTGTGAGAACAGAAAAAAGATTGTTAGTGGAGACCAAAGAAACCGGTTTGTAGCATCATTGACTGTAATATAGAACTTTGAACTTCTTTTTACTTGGAACATCGGAGTAATGCCAGATCCACCAGCCAGCATTCCGAAAGCTCTCACTTGTCCTACTTGGTACTTGAAACGACCCTAGATCAGAGAACAACCCATGTTAAACTTATAATTAGATGGCAAATAAGCATGCATTGTGAATGTGGACTATAAAAAACGACACCCTGTGCTGGCTAAACCAGAGCAAAAGGAAATTTTCAGGCTTAGCAAGCAGCTATTTCTTATGAACCTAACACAGGTTGCTCATGATAAAAAAGAGTGTTACCTTAGGTCCCTTCACAGACATATAATCACCAACTTTCATTTCACGGAAGTGATGCGACATTCTTCCTTGAGGGTACATCTGCATTTTGGGGAAAAGGAAATATTAAAAAAAGAAAAGGTGAAGAAACTACAGCTGAACACACAATCATGTGGAGCAAAAATATAAGATTGTTGACCAATATTATTGTAGTATAAAGAAATGAACACATACCTTTATAACAAGCTGAAAATTTCCTAGATCAGAATCCAATGTAGTAGGTGTGTAAGGCTTGATTACTTCTTCACCGGTAGCATCTTGACCCCTGAATAAAAGGAGGGAACATTAACATGATTTAAAATTTAGAAGAAGTACTCCCTCCGATCCGAATTAATTGACACAGCCCAATTAATTTGGATCGGAGGGAGTACATTATAAAAGCAAACTTCAGAACTCAGAAGCAGCACATAATTCAAACCTGCAACTGATATGTTGACCAATTGGAAGGCCTAACACAGAGGTAGGGGTTGGAAGAGCAAATCGGAATTTGGCAACATTATGGCTTATTTGTGTCTTTTCCACAAGTTTAAACTTCTTGAAGTTCTCAGGATCCAAGCAGCCTGATGGGGACAAAAAGAGCACGAAGAATGACATTAAGCTACAGCATATTACCCTCCAATAGCAGAAAGAATGCTCGAGCAATTTTTTTATTTGGTTAATGAAACAAAGAATGAAAGAAGTAATGAATGCTAGAATGAGGTGTGAAATTCCACAGGCAATTACTTAAAAAGATTCGACAGAACTACCCATGACAAACAAAACAAAAAAAGATGTTGCAGAATAGTAGGTGCCAAGTTATTTAACTCTCATCAGTAGCACATCTAACTCCATAATCTCACAACAGGCGTAACAGGTTTAGCCACTAGGCAGGTCAAATGGATTCCTTTGCTTAGATCCTGTAGCCAGGCAATAATTCTTTTCAAGTATAGTGAATACTGATGATAACATGGTAAGACTAAATCAACCAAGACACACTGGGAAAATCTGCTAGCAGCACAGCTCCGCTCCGCTTGGGCCTCCTGAAATGGAGCCGGCAGTAAAAATAACCACGGCACTCTGCCACTGGGGTTCACTGAAGTACGGCTCATATCTTCTAGTCGTTCAACAGACTTGTCTGAACACGAACAATACTTGGCTGGTTCAGTTTAGTAAGGAAAACAAACACTTCATTGGTTTATCATCTCCATATAGCGAGCAGCATCGACACCGCAAATGGCCACTGCCCAGACCAAGCCCAGCAGGTAGTGTCTGTCACCACCAAAAAGCACCAGCTCACAAACCGAATTCAGCAATTTTCACAGCACAATGGCCGAATTGGCGACCTCGTCTCCACGGCCTCTCAGCGAGAACTAATTGGAAGCTGCCGGATTCGGGCCAACCAGGATACGAATCACAGGCAATATCATGTAAGCACGCATGTATCTGCCGAACATACGCGCAACCATACATACATATATACATACCCTTGGGCCTCTTGGATCGGCGGAGGAGGAGCGCGCCGCCCACGGCGACGGCGACGACCGCGACGGCGACGGCCACCATGGTCTCGACGCTCTGCCCCTGTAGGAAATCCATGGCCGGGAACCTCCCCTTCCACCCGCGCGGCTGTGTCCCTCGCTACGCTCGGGTTGGGGGTTGGTTGGGCTGCGGTGTTTGGTGCGGGGTTTAGCTGGGTTTGGAATTAGAAGACGGGGGAGGGCGCGGGGTTGGCTGCGGGAGCGGGGGTAGGTGGGGTGTGGTGGTGGTGGTAAGACGGAAACCACCGGTGGTGACCGGTGAGACCTGTGGGCGCCGCGCGGTGGCGGTGGCGGAGATCGCGAGGTCGAATTCGCCCTTTTGCCCTCGCCACAGTTCAGAACAGAGTCTGAATTTCAGGTGTGCAAAAGCACCTTCAGAAACTGTGAATACACTGCAAAAGCACCTTCAGAAACGCAAACAGAGTCTGAATTTCAGGTGCGTCTCGGTGAGCACACTGCAGAAGTAGCTTCAGAAATGCTAGTAGTACCAAACTGTGATGAGACGACAGATTGCACTATATACACACTTAACACGTGAGATGTGAGCGCCTGATCCAAAGCCTGGTATGAATAAAAGGCGATTTCCTGCATGTCATTCGAGAATCACGAACTGAAGCTAAGGGCCTCTTGGATTCACAGGATTTAAAAAATGTAGGAATAGAAAAGGTATAATTGCAGTGGCATGTCAGCTTGAATCCTATAGGATTAGCAAAGAGTGTTTGATGCCACATAAAAAACAAAGAAATTATAAAAAAAGATTGAAGTGGATGTTAGATTTTCTATAAAATATAGTACAAAAGATTTCATAGGATAAATTTTTATGGAATCCAATCCTATAAATCAAAGGGCCGATATAAGAAAAATTTCTAAGGGTTTCAATCCTTCAAAAATTCTAAATAATTCCTTTGAATCAAAGGAGCCCTAAGCCTGTAGAGAAATTCATTTTTGAGGGTTGTAATATGAACTGTAATGGTGATGCATGGTTAGCGCATCGCCATAGCGGGGGTTGGGAGAGTAATTTCGTTCGAGCTCGCGTCAATCGCTGTCTGGGTATGGGACGCTGGGCCCAGCTCTGTGATCGACCGGAATGGCGCCCTCATCCCAACGTGGATTGATTTGTAGATAGAGTAGATCGATAGATGCCCTGGTCAGTTTTTCAATTGGCATCGGCGGGCTTGGTCACTTGTTTAGACCGCTTTCTACCACCACCACACCACTTGTGCGTCTCCATTTCCGGCGGTCGGGTCGGACCATCGGCTCTGCTGATTGCTGTATGATTAAACTTGGTCGTGTTTGGACTACGGAGGCGGAGCAGCAGCCGCACAATTACACTTTCCACCATCAAAATGAAGCGAATATCGGCGCCGTTCGTCGGATCAGGGCAGATCCTTTAAAAACCAAACAGGGTCTGCCTTTGAAGCTGCGAGTTGCCCAAGTTTTTTTTTTTTGAGCCGACGAGTTGCCCAAGTAACACTAGTTTTTTTCTTTTTTGAGCCGACGAGTTGCCCAAGTAACACTAGTTTTCCTCCTAAAAAAAAGTAACACTAGCTCTTGGGCCATAAACAGTTCACCAGAAATGGCCCGCTCAAGAATTAGGCCCTCCCAAGCAACGGCCTTCTGGGGCTGATAGGAATGCGGTGAATTAGGCCCTCTCAACTCTCAAGCAATGGCCGCCTCTCAGCAGTCAGCATCACCTGAATTCTGAACATAGGTAATTTCCGTCCCCTCCTGTTAGGGTTTTTGTTTCCTCTCAGCGACTCCATGAGCCGCCGTTGAGATTAACTCTTCCCCTCGCCGATCTTCCTCCGGTTCCCAGCCGGGCTAGGGTCGATCCTGGGCGTTCTCCGCCTCTCGACCTCGGCCCCGGCAGGTTTTGTGGAGGCAGGTAGGCAGTTAGGGTTTCGTCAAAACCTGGTGATCTACTGTCGTCAGGTTAGGGTTCTTGAGGTATGGCTAGCCGCGCGCCGGGTTCTGGCGCCCGGATGTCGAGGAGATGATGAAAAACCTGGGCATCACTTAGGACGATCTCGACGACGTGGTTTTCGAAGAGCAAGATGTTCCAGCGGAAGCGGTTGTGCATTGGATGGCCATCGCAAGAGTTCACACCCCAAAGAGTTACAGCCAATATTGGTTCTACCGCAATATGAGGGCTGCCTGGGATCTGGCGCAGGAGGTAAAGATCCGCCCGCTTGAAGAAAACCTGTACACAATGCAATTTGCTTGCCTCGGCGATTGGGAACGTGTCATGATGGAGGGACCTTGGACCTTCAAAGGGAACGCGGTGGTACTGGCAGAGTATGATGGGTTCACTAAACCATCAGAAGTTAACTTGGACATGCTGGATATATGGGCTCAAATCCACAACTTTCCTGATGGTTACTTCCCGATGATCAAAGCTCTAGCAGGGAAGATTGGGCAGTACATATACGCTGAACCGAAGTCACATGACTTCGAAGGTAATTTTGTCCGGGTCAGGGTCAAGATCAATGTCCATCGCCCTCTAAAAAATGCAGTCTCGAAGGTGAAAGAAGGTAAAAGGAAAATCTTGCTGGTAAAATACGAGCGCTTACCTGACTGGTGCGCTGTCTGTGGCCACCTTGGTCATCAATTCAAGGAGCATGGCGACGGTGTTCATCCTCCTGAGGCTCTGGTCTTTAAGAATCTTCGGGCATCATGATTTAGAGGACCGGGATGGGGACCGGGGGAAAGAAGAGGACGTGGCAGATCGGGGCGTGGACGCGGGCGAGGCTGTTGGAAATATGCCCTAGAGGCAATAATAAAAGCATTATTATTATATTTCCTTGTTCATGATAATTGTCTTTATTCATGCTATAATTGTGTTATCCGGAAATCGTAATGCATGTGTGAATAACAGACACCAACATGTCCCTAGTGAGCCTCTAGTTGACTAGCTCGTTGATCAACAGATAGTCATGGTTTCCTGACTATGGACACTGGATGTCATTGATAACGAGATCACATCATTGGGAGAATGATGTGATGGACGAGACCCAATCCTAAACATAGCACAAGATCGTATAGTTCGTTTGCTAGAGTTTTGCAATGTCAAAGTATCTTTTCCTTAGACCATGAGATCGTGTAACTCCCGGATACCGTAGGAGTGCTTTGGGTATGCCAAACGTCACAACGTAACTGGGTGACTATAAAGGTAGACTACGGGTATCTCCGAAAGTGTCTGTTGGGTGACATGGATCAAGACTAGGATTTGTCACTCCGTATGACGGAGAGGTATCACTGGGCCCACTCGGTAATGCATCATCATAATGAGCTCAGAGTGACCAAGTGTCTGGTCACGGGATCATGCATTACGGTACGAGTAAAGTGACTTGCCGGTAACGAGATTGAACGAGGTATTGGGATACCGACGATCGAATCTCGGGCAAGTAACATATCGATAGACAAAGGGAATAGCGTACGGGGTTGATTGAATCCTCGACATCGTGGTTCATCCGATGAGATCATCGTGGAGCATGTGGGAGCCAACATGGGTATCCAGATCCCGCTGTTGGTTATTGACCGGAGAGTCGTCTCGGTCATGTCTGCTTGTCTCCCGAACCCGTAGGGTCTACACACTTAAGGTTCAGTTACGCTAGGGTTGTAGGGATATGTATATGCAGTAACCCGAATGTTGTTCGGAGTCCCGGATGAGACCCCGGACGTCACGAGGAGTTCCGGAATGGTCCGGAGGTAAAGATTTATATATGGGAAGTCCTGTTTCGGGCATCGGGACAAGTTTCGGGGTTATCGGTATTGTACCGGGACCACCGGAAGGGTCCCGGGGGTCCACCGGGTGGGTCCACCTGTCCCGGGGGGCCACATGGGCTGTAAGGGGGTGCGCCTTGGCCTAATGGGCCAAGGTCACCAACCCCACATAGGCCCATGCGCCTAGGGTTTAAGGGGGGAAGAGTCCTAGGAGGGTAAGGCACCTCCTAGGTGCCTTGGGGGGGAGGGAAACCTCCCCTTGGCCGCCGGCCATAGGAGATTGGATCTCCTAGGCTGCGCACCACCCCCCCTTGGCACCCCTATATATAGTGGGGGAGAGGAGGGACTTCATACCTGAACGCCTCGGCCTTTGGTTGCCTCCTTCTCCCTCCCCAACACCTCCTCAACCTCCATAGTGCTTAGCGAAGCTCTGCCGGAGTACCGCAGCTCCATCAACACCACGCCGTCGTGCTGCTGCTGGTGCCATCTCCCTCAACCTCTCCTCCCTCCCTTGCTAGATCAAGAAGGAGGAGACGTGGCTGTTCCGTACGTGTGTTGAACGCGGAGGTGCCGTCCGTTCGGCGCTGGTCATCGGTGATTTGGATCACGTCGAGTACGACTACATCATCACCGTTCTTTTGAACGCTTCCGCTCGCGATCTACAAAGGTATGTAGATGCATCTAATCACTCGTTGCTAGATGAACTCCTAGATGATCTTGGTGAAACGAGTAGGAAAATTTTTGTTTTCTGCAACGTTCCCCAACAGTGGCATCATGAGCTAGGTCTATGCGTAGTTCTTCTTGCGCGAGTAGAACACAATTTGTTGTGGGCGTAGATTTGTCAACTTTCTTGCCGTTACTAGTCCTTTCTTGCTTCAGCGGTATTGTGGGATGAAGCGGCCCGGACCAACCTTACACGTACGCTTACGTGAGACCGGTTCCACCGACTAACATGCACTAGTTGCATAAGGTGGCTGGCGGGTGTCTGTCTCTCCTACTTTAGTTGGAGCGGAATCGATGAACAGGGTCCTTATGAAGGGTAAATAGAAGTTGACAAATCACGTTGTGGCTTTAACATAGGTAAGAAAACGTTCTTGCTAGAACCCTAATTCAGCCACGTAAAAACTTGCAACAACAATTAGAGGACGTCTAACTTGTTTTTGCAGCAAGTGGTTTGTGATATGATATGGCCAAAGTTGTGATGAATGATGAATGATCTATATGTGATGTATGAGATGTTCATGCTATTGTAATAGGAATCACGACTTGCATGTCGATGAGTATGACAACCGGCAGGAGCCATAGGAGTTGTCTTTATTCTTTTATATGACCTGC